AAGCTCTTCTCTCATTCTGTTCTGGCTTGAATCGAATGGGAATGACATCTTTGAAGTGGATTCGTTTTGATTTCGTGATTCATAAGCTCAGACGGATCCAATCACTTTTTCATCTCTCAGCGACTTCCAGCTGCCTCACTGTGCTTTATAAAGAGGATAAACTTGTTTCCATTGTTGCCCTTCTGTCAGCCCCTTGAAAACGAAGCGCTCATTCGAAACGCTCTAATTCCACTGAGATGAATCCGCCTTTCAAGTGGGAAACATTCCAAAAACTGCTGTTCTTTTTGAAAATTTCTCCGGATTCAGTGCTCGAGAGCTCTTCAGGAAGTAGAGTCTATGTTTCGGTTTTCAGTCACTCTTAATACCTTTGGCGGAAAAAATTCAATACTGCCTAAATTCTGAAGATGAGTTGCTAAAGGTAATTTGCGTTACTCTCTCATTTTTTATCCTGTTCATGGAATTTTAGTAGGAGGCTTCAGACAAGGCTCTTTGGGTGGTACCTCGAGCCTTTGAGGCTTTTTGACCTAGGATTCTGTGTGGATCCTTTCCAGGTACAGGCTCCTATGAGTGCTTAGGTAAAGGTAAATCGCCCCCTCTTGGTCAGTAAAAGCGGCTTTGACATAGTCGTAGCCAGTCGTTGTTTTTTGGGTGTTTGGCACGTGCTCTGGCAAAAAAAAACATGATTTATCTCTCCGTCAGAGACTCCAGAACTACAAAGAGAGATCAGGGAAGGTAAACCTTTCAAAAAAGCATTTATAGCTCTAAATACCTATATATACAGGGGGCCAAAAAAAAAGTCATTTGACCGAGTCACATATCAACGAAGTTTTCGCAGCCCAGACAGGGGAAGTGGATATGAGTACCAGAGTGGAAGATACCCAAGATCTTCCTCTATAAGCTGGAGCAGGCTGCCGCCAATCGCCTTCATGTACGCCAAAATATGAAGTCATCTCCAGTCGCGGCCTGACTGGAGAACACCTTTGGAATTCACGTCGCCTCCAAACAGCTGCGAAACTTCTTGAATGAAGTCATCCACAGATAGCTACCTGGAGGTCAGTACTCTTGATCTGCAAGACCTCCCACATCGAGCAGCTTCGGCAACGTCGCTACGGTCTAGGACATCATCTTCACCGTATTCGCCGAGGCGCGAGTTGATGGTATGGACCGGGGTACCTGGAAAGGGAAGACCGATATTTTCTTTGTAGACCCCGACTGAAGGTGAGCGCTGGCGGTTACATCAAGTAACTCGAGAAGAATATCCTCCCTACATGTGGTCGCCCGTACCTTCTTGGAGACCTTGTGCTGCTACAGGTTTGGGTGCCACCACATGGAATCAAAGGGTTTTGGAAAAACTCCCGCCTACTTCGAATGGAAGGGCGTTTCGTACCTGAAGAAGATGTAATATTGAAGTATGTCCCCTGACCTGAACCCACTCAATTACCTAGTTCGGGCGGACTTCAAGAGGGTGGTCTACGGTGGCGGAGAAATCGACTACCCGCTGATCTCAGGTACCACATCGCGGTCGCGTGCCAGAATCTCTCGATGGCGCTCGTCCAGAAGGCTGTGGCGGAGTGTCGTGATAGTACTTAATATGCTCTTCAATATGGTAGTAAAAATGTCCGATCAGAATTTGATAAAGTGTAACTTATAGCGCCTCGAAAGTCAATGAAGCAAAGTGACTTTTTTTTGGCCACCCCTGTATTCAGGAGGACAGTCTGCATTGTCGCAGAGCCAGCCAGTCGTTATGCATTCACCATTGGCTTTCTACCCCAGGGCAACCAGTACCCCAAATTCGACTCATCCCTGCGGGGGGAATGGGAGGGAAATCTTGAATTTGAGGTACTGAATCTCCCGTGACGAGATTGTATATGGGACACATGTTTGGTCGCTGAAAAGGTGGTCCTACTTGGCTTCGTAAAATATTTAACTTTGAAAATTTTTGATGGCCGGTTTTTCCATTTCAACACAAGGCACTCGATATACCTCCGTAGTCGGCGAGCGGCTATTTTTTTTTCTTTTTCTTTAGACGATTAGTGAAGCGCTCCACCCCCTCCCCCGACGAGTTTTTTTTTCGGGGTGGGATAGAGGAAGAGAAGTCGTCCTCCGAAAGTTCATCCCCAGCACCAGGACGTGCCCCGACTGCCCCTGGATCTGACAGTAGTCTAAATTTTGTATTACCCAAAGAGCTGCCAAAAAAACCAATCGAAAGCGCTCGTAAGTCTCGAGTTCAGCTTGAAAGTTGTCCGATACGTGTTCTTATACGTTAAATATACAAGGTTCTTTCAAATATAAGTCGGGTTCTTTCCATTCCAAAGACACTGTCCACGTCAATCGTGTGGGCGGAGACGTGCAACCAGTGATCCTTCTTATTGATGCACACTTGTTCCTGCAGTCACAGACGGAGAGCTGGACCAACAAAGAATATAGTGGTTGACCGTTTCCCCTATACCAGCAGTGTAAGCTATGCCTTCAGAAGAAATAGTTTTGACGCGTTCCAGTTTCTCCACAGATACGTGACATCGAACGCGACCCGGCCGACCGTTGGCGTATTTATAATGATGTTTCCAAGGCATTTCAAATCATTTAATGAGGGCTCAATAAAGACCAGCCAAAGCTGAATTGTTTCGCGTAGGAACTTTTCGTCAAGATCCATCACGTAGCTCACTTTTATCCGAGCTATTCGATTTGCTAGTGCCGGCGCCCCAGCATAATCTTCAAGTTCCCCTGGTTTTTATTCTTCCCCCAGAAAAACAAGTCTGGTAGCGATTTAGGCCGGTCCAACGTGGGCATAGAGTATCGCTGAAGAACCGTTGCGTCTAGTCTGTTCTGTGATCCAGAGCTAGTGCTGGCGCTCCTCGAACATTCACCGAACGCCTTGATGTGTTAGAGAACTCTGCATGCGTACAATACATATTCCTCGCCAATGGATGGCATCAAATATCAGGTTTAGCGTTGAGGCTCTGCTGGCTTTTTCCTTTCTGGCAGGATATTAGTACCTCGCGCGTCACCTTTCTGATGTTTTTATGTCAGCTGTCTTTCTGGGAATAATTAAGGCGCATTTATCTACCAGGTCCCAGATAGGTACGTGGCAACGCGGGCGAAAGAAAAGTTTTTTACCAGAGCAGCTGTTTTGAGCTTTTTTGCATATTTTCAACCTCTGCTTCCCAAGATTTTTTATTCAGTATCCGACCATTGCACAGAAACAATTTAACGATCCGAAACCAGTTATTGATGAGTCCATTGATAATCGAAGAACATGAAAATATTTACTGATAAAGCCATTATAAATCTTCCGATACGGAAATAATTGCATTCAAAACTAGCGTAATTCAATGACATCGAAGGCCGTTTGTCTTTCCGCAACGTTTGCGGGAAGACAGGCGGAAAAAGCGCCTTCAAAGAATGAAGAATGTGTTCTTCGCCTTTGCTCAATCCCATTTTGGGATGCGCAATGCATTCTAAAATCCATTCAGAATCGTACTGTTTCTTGGTTCTTTGAATGCGACATGGCCTATACAATGACTAGCTGGGGCCACCCATTGTACAAGTGATGCGTGCGTTCTTGTGTGATGCGACGTATACACCAGGGAATACGACGCCTGATTGTTTACTTGTTACATTATTTCTTAATGATATAACTTATGTAATTTATTCATATATTATTTCGGCGGATGCCGGCAAGAGGCGCGATTACCGTAGGCGCCGTCCGGGGGTCGTCCGGATCGGCTCCAGCAGAAGCCAACCTGGCCTCCTTTCCTCAGAAAACGGTCATTTTGTGCCAGAATCCTCTGGAAGAATGAAAGCATTGAATTGTACATTGACTGGCACCCGCAACTCCATAAGGGATATTCAACCTCAAGGGCATTCAGATGAATACTTATGAAAACAGGATAATCGTCATCCGAAGAGAAATACTGTACTTCAAATTACTCCAGAGCTCTTCTAAAGCTGCACAGAGGCCCTCATCATAAGAGTGCCAAGTTGTGGGCAAAAGTCGAGCTGGGGAGCAAGAGTGCCTCGATAGCGTAATAGGGAACGCAACTGCACGGAAAGCGGAAGATGCGGGTTCGAATCCCGCCCGTGGTCCGACTTTTGCCCACAACTCAGCATTCTTGTGATAGCTTTCGGATCGCGCACTGCGGCGTTAAACAGCAGTTATCATACAATAACAGCTTCAGAAGCCCTCATCTTTATTAAATCACTTTGCGCATTTCGACGCCGGGGGGGGGTTGCACTTTCGCTGCTTCCCATCGACCGTGTTCAAGCTATTAGGGAGACCTGTGAAATCCTGTGAAGACGCGAAATGATAACAGCCGAAATTTGTAGAGACCACCTGCTAACTCTTGTAAAGTAATGAAATACCATACAAATATGTACCATTTACCGTGGTGGATTGGTGAGCTTGCTCCAGCTTCACAAGAGTTCACAGGTTTCACCAGAGTGAGACTTGTAAACCGGAACTAGTGAAGCAGTGAAAGTGCAAAATGCCACCCCCCTCCCATGTTGTCGAACTTCGCCGATACATGCTTCTTATTCCGCAAAAGGAGTCTTTCAAAGGCTCCCCCCAATATTATACACCCAGAACTCCATTCAATTATTTAATATGTTGTTTAGTTCCTCAAATTGACATTGGGATGAACATCCTAGCACATGTTAGGATGAAGAAAGGAAACAAAATGCTTCATACATTTCAAATTGTTCAAGTGGGGCTGCAGCAAAGTCCTATTGAAAGTCGATTTCTTCATGCCTCAAATCCAGTTTTGAGCTGAAAAACTTCCAATCTAACAAAATCCCTATCGATCATCCTGAAGTGCTTTCGATTCTGTTCTGTCAGCGCCCTAAATTTGTTGTGGTTTCACTTGCACTGATTAATCGTTTTCAGTTTTCGCTTTTCTGTTCATCAGACTTTCTCACTACGTTTTTTTACGAACTATCACCGTAACTGATATCCGAAAAATTAGTTAAATTAATCATTTAGGCTTACTACTGATGTGTATTCAATGACGGCGTCAAATTCAATTCGATCGCATTTCATGCGACTAATTTTCGGTAAGTTTGCATTGGTTCTGGTACGAAATATGCGTTGGGAATTGGAATTTCAAGAATGGGTCACGCCCACGGAATTCCGAAACTTTTTCGAATCGATAAATCCTCATTTGTAATTCTGCCTTTCAATCCTTGACAGATGCCGAAACCTGTGAAGCGCTCGAGTTACTTCTGACTACGCTCGGCAATGAGAATGGCTTCCACGAAGTCGTCGATTGTATCACCGCCTGGCAGGTGAGCCAATTTAAACACAGGTCTTAATAGCCAGCCATTGAGGGGAACCATTTACCTACGCGAAAGGCTAGCACAAGCCGCACTATTTGGGTGAGTGGAACCTACCTAGGCCACTCCATGATTAATTGCTCCTGGAATCTGGGAAGCGTTTCAAGTGTCCGGCACTTTGACTAATACAGATCTCTTGTCTGGCCCTCAGTCCCCTGAATGAGCGCAACAAGGTCACCCTCATCTTAAGAGAAAGTTGAGCCCAATACAGAACTGTTGATCGGGCCATGTTCTTCTTGATACAGTCCTTCGCAAAAGATTTCGCATGGGAACTGAATCAACAACGACTTGTTGTATTAATGTCACGCAGGGGACGAAGTCATTTTGGCTTGCTAGGGACCTGGATTATATTAGGGGTTGCGGGAATTGACAGGGTCAGCTGTTGAGCTTCACTTAAAGGCAGTTGGCACGATAATTTGGTACTCGGCCTAAAATGCTAGCAGGGCGCTATGGGAAATGGCGAAAGAACGGAGTGAAACGGTCAAAATCCTGCGAAGAAAAAGCCTCCGTTCTCAGTGACTTGAAAATCGATTTCGGACGAGTTTCCCGTAGGCATCTTGCCAATAACCGCTACCGAAGATACGGCTGCATATGTGTACTCATATATCCATGCAGCATCACCGCCGCTTCATACCAATCCCTTCGCTTCATAATTTGCTTAGCAAATGAATCAATACGAGCGTCAGGAACGGTCGTCCATTTGTGGGCGGGCGTTCGGGTCGGTATGTTATAGCTTGATAGGGGCCTTCCTTGGAAAGGGCGCTGCGCCCTTTCCAAGGAAGGCCCCTACCTTCGTAGGGGCGCGGCATTCCGTCCTGCCAGGCATATTGATCCTACTCGTCTTTAAGGATTTATCGTGCTAACTGCCTTCAAATGAAGATTAAAGGTAAGTGAATCCAGAGGTTGAGATTGGGGGTGACAGAGCAGACAAAGTGGAGTGAGGAGCAGTGGTGCTGAATGCGCTCAACTTACCGTCGGCTAACAAATGGATGGTTCATAGCGTAAATGTTGCAGGACCTGGTCGACAGCGAGGATTCAGCACTACGGCCGCTTGTGGAATGTCTGGACGATGACGATAGCGCCGTGCCACAGAGAGCTATCGCTCTCGTCAACGCGCTGATTCGTCACGCACCTGACGAAGCGCGGGCCTTCCGAATCAAAAACGAGCTCTCAGGTTAGTCAGTGTTCGCTGTTCAGTTGGCGCTTTCTCTCTTTTGTGGACAATTTTTTCTTGACTTTTGTTTACTTTTCAAAAAAATTTTTAAAAATTCTTCATTTCACTAAGGCTGTCAAAGCAAAATCAAACAATAGTCTTTCTTCAATTGTAAATACTTGCAAAGTCTGAGCTCAGCTCACCAGCTTCGTGCGTGGCACATCCGTAACGCTTGCGCCAGCAAACGTTTTCCTTTCTTGTCCAACCGCTCCCCCCTAAGTGCGACCTTTTCAAAAGTGCATTAAACGTCACCTACATAACTACCTCCAATTACCTCGAGTTTTTCATAGAAAAAAAAAAGATCGGTCGGCATGTGGGGGAGAGTGTGGAGGCGAGCATACTGAACTAGACATAGCTTCATTCTTTTTGGACCTTCAAAACAGTTCACATTAATATAGACCCCTTCTGGCTACCCGAATACGAATCCGCCTTTCCGGTGTGACAACCAAACCAACCCCAATATTTCAGCGACATCTATTCTGGGATTTTCTGCAGAATCCAATGGAACCTAATTTATACTCTAGCAACGGCACGACGGTGATGAATGAGATTTCTTTAACCGTCTCCAATTTCCGTTCCACTTTCATTTGCATGTAATTGTTTACTTGGTCGTCTTTTCCAAGAGTAATTTGTGGCGACTTTGGCGGATGCCTGCGATTTCAGCAGTCGTGCTTAGGCGGATCATCCCATTCAAAACTGATGGGGAAGTGATGACGTTCGGAGGGGGGACACTTCAACCAAATCTTCGACTTTTCTTGTACTTTGTTACTGGCACTCCCAGGCCTTTCCTCTTACTCATTATAGGCTCTCTCTCAGGCTTTTCGGCTAGTTTCTCACGTAAACTCCTCAGTGCGTCTGGCTTACTAGGTGTGCTTCCCTCCCAAACTCCACCAAACCTACTTAGTGGGGGGGGGGGGTGCCGCATGTTTGGATGGGGGGGCGATGCAACCAAGTATAGGTACTAGTTTTTTGTAAGATGATTCAGTTATGGCAGTGTGCAAAAAGGGATTCAGTTGGCGGAGTCACATAATGAGGTGCTAGCTGTCGTAACAACAGGCTGTTCACGGTGACAGTTATTATGTTCAGCTACCATAGAATTGTTTTGATGTACTGCGCAGTTCCCTTCTCTGAGGGGCCTCCAAGGGAACATCTGATACCGGGGAGGCTTGTCAGAAACTGTACAATGATATGGTGAAGAAGATTGGCAACGAAAAAAGTGGGATCATGAATAACACACTGCGCACAGGACTTGCTGTTATTGAGAAAATGCCTACCTAAAAATCGAGTGTGAATGAGGATACGATGGCATGAGGTATGCAAACGCTGCCACTACTGCAGAAATCGAAAACAATCGTTCAGCTTTTTTTTCTTGCTCGATGATTCCCTTCAGATCAGAGCAGAAGAAGTTATTGCCATTTTGAGACCAACCGCTTTCTAAAAGCAATCGAAGATCTGCAACAATCCCTCAGAAAAGGGACAACTGTGTTTGTTGAATGACGTGAATTATGGAGGATGTCAGCACGTTTTGGAGTCGTTATTCGACAGATCATCCCGTTCAAAGTCGATCGAGACATTATCGCGCATTAAAAAGTACACTGTAAAAAAGAAACACCGCTCTGAACCCATTACCTCCTCTGTATCCTCTAATGCTCCCTGCTCATTCCTCTTTTTGTATGCCTCGAATGACTATATGCATAGCATCGCGACGAAGCTGCGCATTCGTGTCTTTGCAAAAAAGCCAAACAGTGGTGCCTGTTGCCATGCTTATAAGGAGATGCGAGGATTCAATGGACTCTTAATTGCGGTCTCCTTTGGAGCCTTCACTAGCGAAATCCTTAAGGCACAATATAAGCCTTTTTCACATAACCTTCCTAAGTGTTGTTGTATTTCTGAGCCTTCAACAAATGTCTGAAGGCAGTTAGCATGATAAATCCCTAACTAGGGAGGCCGTTCAGGACGTGGAGCGCTTTTTGAGAACGGTTTTTTGGGCATCGACTGTGTGGTTCACCGTTGGCATGGAGTACCAAACTGGTGTTCATTTTTCCTGAACGCCTCTGGGAATGCCAAAAATGGAGTGAAAAAGAAGTCCATGGAAACCGACTGTTTTTGAGCCTGAATGGGCTCTAAATCACTCGCAAGTTCGGCCAGTTGCTGCCTATAGGGCCCTTATAAAGGTTGTACTGGTATCGGATGGAAATGTAGTCGCCAATCGGTTTCCTTGTGGACGTAGTTAAGAGTGCCGACGGCTAAGTTTTGGAAAGGCCTTAAGCAATCGATAGTGGTAGCTTGCGACCAACGTCGATGGCCGTATCGTGGATAAGGTGAAGATTTCTCAGCCGACGGTGGGAATGGGGATGGGCGTTGCGTGATCTCCTCGTCTTGTCACGTTTTTGCATTTTTTATTTTCCGTTGTTGTCGCTTCCATATACGTCTGTTAATGAATTTTACTCTGATATCTGCTATTTATAGGCATGTCCTAAATAGACCCCGTAGTCGGTGCTATCCAGCAATTTCGATTTCACATAACATTAAGCAAGAACTTGTCTGAAAGTTGAACTTTATATGTTATTCGGTGCCCTGATCACGACTATGGCATTTACTTTCAGCTCCAGTGCCATTTATCTCCAATTTGGAGCCACGTCTTTCTCCCACTGGAGTCGCTATGTACATTCGTTTGAGGGACTTGCAGGGCCATTCTGACGCCAGATTGGGTTGACGTCAAGAATAAGTGTCAGAATCGTGATCAGGACCATCGATTACCCCTATAGGCAAACATTTCGGCCAAAAAAAATTTTTTTGACTTTTTTTGATGGTGATAGACGACATTGGTCGACAGTGATGACCGGAGACCCACAACTTTGGAGCTGCGATGACGTAGCGATGACGTGGTGGGCCGCCGGGCAGCCGCATCGCGGATTTGGTGCTCATAAGGTCCATTCATATTTGGCATGGGGCATGGATGGCCGCAGAACAAGTGAAAACCCATCCTGGACATGTCGACCCCCGCGACGGCTCGCTCAACGAAGATGTCGTCCTCCCCTACCAAGAGGAGAGACTCATCCGATTTCTTCACTTTTTCAAATGCACCTGGAGGAATGATGACTATTTTACTATTTTGTTCTTTTTTTCGATGGCGTTTAATAGGTTGTATTGCTAGTTTTTTTTGTTTCTGCTAGCCAATGAATGAGGGCTCGATAACCAGCAATACGACTTCAACAAAGTGACTCTTGAGCATAACCCAATGCACAGACTCAAAAAGTCAAAAAATTTTTTTTGGCTGAAAGTTTGCCTATAGGGGTAATCGATGGTCCTGATCACGATTCTGACACTTATTCTTGACGTCAACCCAATCTGGCGTCAGAATGGCCCTGCAAGTCCCTCAAACGAATGTACATAGCGACTCCAGTGGGAGAAAGACGTGGCTCAATTGGGACAATGGACTAGAGCTGAAGTCACGCCATAGATCAGGGCACCGATAGCAATAAAGCTCAAACTTTCAGCCAAGTTTGGCTTAATGGTAGTGAAGTCGAAATTGCTGATGCACGATACGGTTATAACTGCTAGGTGTGCCTATATATGGCAAGATATCGGCCGAGGTAAAATATCATTACAGCACTAGCATGAGAAGCGACAACAAGGAATAAATAGAAATGCATAAACGTGGAAAGCGAAGGGAGTCTGAATCGCCATCCCTATCCACGTCGCTTGAGAAATCCTCCACGTTATCCCTAGCCATCGATCGCTGCGCAACTACCACTTCGATTGTTTAAGGCCCATTCCTAGCCGTCGACTCTTAACTACGTGCCACAAGTAAGACCCCATTGGCGACTACTTTTCTCATCGATACCAGTACAACCTTTATAAGGACCCTATAGGCAGCAACTGGCCGAACTTGCGAGTGATTTAGAGCCCATTCAGGCTCAATAAACAGTCGGTTTCCATGGACTTCTGTTTTCACACCGATTTGTTGCCTTCCCAAGGCGTTCAGGAAAAATGAAACACGAGTTGGATGCTCCATTCCGTGACCCACATTCATGCAAAAACCCGTCATTTTTTCAAAGAAGCGCTGCGCACGTCCTAACGACCCTCCGCTAGTAAGACGAGGTAAGAGTTAAAACACGCTGCAGGACGGAATCGGCCCCTGAGCAGCGTCCGTGACGTCCATTTTTCCGGAAAAGGTACCCTTATAAGGCCCTATCAAGCTGCGACATACCGACCCGGAAGCCTACCGCACCTGCCCGCCCACAAAGGGCGACCGTATTGCTCCGTTTGCGAAGTAAAACATGATGAGAAGGGATTCTCATGAAGGGGCCGCGGTGCTGCATGGATTTGATGAGTGCAACTCCTTATCCCTAAGTCAGAGTAGGCGTGGCATTCGAGCGTTGTATGGAATGAGTTACTCGCGGAATATTTGTTGGATAGAGGAATATCACAGTTGTCCCCAAATGGAAATCTCCAAAACAAGTCACCGACCACGTTACTTGAAGTACGCAATCGCGCCTACCGCATCCTCAGGGATTTCCAGTGTACATACGTGCAGTCGCACCTACCGTCGCGATTGGCACGACGCCGGGAAACTCGTCCGAATCTACTTTCATAGTCATGAAAAATTAAGGCTTTTCTCCTCAAGTTTTTGACGCCGTTTCTTCACGTCGTTTTTTCGGCCATTTCCCCACCTAAATAGTAGCACACTGCTAGGATTTTAACCGGCGAGTTCCAATTATCGTGCCATTTTCCGCTTGCATAATTAATGAAGCGTTGAGGTTATCTAAGAGTCTTCCATGCAGCAATTGAAAGTGAGATGAGTACGGAGCAGCGTCAGTTTAGGCAAGGGACTATTGCTGGAAAGCGAGCTGTGATTCCATGGCCAGTTCCGCGGTGATATTGAAAAGAGATCGGCTTGTCTTCCCAAGCGCTTTCCTCTCCCGCCACATCCATTCATTTTGATGGGCACTTTTATGTGACG